GCGGCGCGGAGCGCTGTCAGTGTGTGACATCACAGACAGTAAGGACACCCCAGCGCGGCGCGGAGCGCTGTCAGTGTGTGACATCACAGACAGTAAGGACACCACAGCACCGCGCGGAGCGCTGTCAGTGTGTGACATCACAGACAGTAAGGACACCACAGCGTGGCGCAGAGCGCTGTCAGGGCATGACGTCACACGGCCAGGCTGGGTCCTGCAGTCCCACAGTTCCCGGCTCCTCGCTCGGACACCGTGACTGTGAGCTGCAGGAACAGCGGCACTTAGCCCAGGCCCTCCCCTCGATCCCAGTTTCCCTCTCCCTGTTTCTGATTGGCTTCTTTCCCATGCGCTGCTGTGTTTGTGGAAATTCTGGTAATGTTTCCAGGGGGGAATCGGTGTGTTTGTAGTGTAGACGTCTGGCCTGGCATCACAAGGATGCTTTTGAGTGAAATGCACTGTGTGTAGCGTGGTTGTGTAGCGTGTAGACCAACTGAAGAAGGCTCCATGGCCAAAACGTGTTTTCTCTCTTCCCTTTTCAGCATGGAATAAACCTATTGCTTGTTCCTTTGCAGCCTACACACGCCACCTGAATTATTCATGCTATACAGGTTATAGAATTTGGCTTATTTACAATGATCTATAATCCTGTGTAACTGCAGGCAGCCTTTCGGCAAACTGAGGTTTTGTGGTGGTGGTCTGAAGGGGTTGCTGTTCCTGCTGCCGTTCTTCCATGGCTTTCTTGTGTCTGCAGGAGTACGTGAAGGGGCTGTGTAACCCGGAGCTGCAGGAGAAGGAGAGCTACCCGCCCGACATGCACTGCATCTTCGTGGGCGCGCGGGGGCTGTTCCTGGACTGCCTGGTGCAGGATACCAGCGCGGAGGTGCAGGTGCCGGAGACGGGCTCCCTGCGGATCCTGGGCAGCGCCGAGGCGGTGGTGATGGCGCAGAGCCAGGTGCAGCAGTTCGTCAAGCTCTTCCGCGAGAAGAGCACCCTGCCGGCTGACAAGGACTCGCTGGTGAAGAGGAGGTTCAAGAGCTTTGTGGAGGCGCAGGCGGACAAGTACGCCATGGAGCTGCTGCTGCTGCCCAGCTCGCTGAAGGAGGAGCTGCTGAACCTGGCGCACAGCGCCACGCCGCCCTCCCCGCCAGACACTACAGACGCCAGGTGGCAGAGCGCGCCGCACTGCAGCCGCCAGGCCGAGCAGGAGCGGGCACAAGCCAGCACGCCCGTCACGGAGCTGTCCAACAGGATCCTGGACACGTCTTTCGAGGAGCGGACAGTGAGCCAGGAGCCTGTGGCAGGGACGGTGCTGAACTGCAGGCCCTCCTGCAAACGTAGGTCTTCGGGCAGCGAGGACCGGGACACTAAAAGACAGTTTTCGGAGGAGAGCAGGGAGGACGGAGAGGACGCGGACGACGACTGCTACGTGCTGGGCGACCAGAGCGAGGGCGCCGCCATCGTGGTGCTGGACTCCAGCGACCAGTCCGACGACCCCGAGGTCGTGAGCCCCGAAACCAACTTCAAGTGCCTGGTCAACTTCTTCAAGACCATGGGCTACCCGCAGGAGCTGGTGGAGCGCGTCATCCAGGAGACGGGGCAGGGGGCGGACACCTTCGTGCTCCTGGAGCGGATTGTGGCGGAGAGCCAGAGGGCGCAGGCGGCGCAGGCTGCCAGTTCCCCGAATAATCCCTGCGGTTCCCCCGAGCTGACCTCCCAGCAGGAGAGGGGCGGCTCTGCGCCCCACAAACCCAGGGAGAGGGTGCAGGGGGGTAACGGCAGCAACCCGAACGTTTTGATGGAGTGGAAGTCCAAAGAAAACATCCAGCCCAGCAGCAACAGCATCGGACCCCGCAACCTCAGCGGCGGCGGAGCCCCCCAGGGGCCGGCGGCGAAGAGGAGCGGCGCCCAGCCCGGGCCTCACGCGCCCGGC